TTACGAGGAAAAATTAATATTTTTTTTATTTTTTGAACATTTACGAAAAAGCGTAAAATTTTGATTATTTTTTTGTTTCGATATTCTAAGGTCATTGTTTAGTTTGAGAATTTTTTTGAGGTGTTTTGATGTACTTTTCTAGATTTTTATATCTTTCGTACATTTACGAATAATTTTATTTTTTATTGTTATTTTTCATAAAGTTACGAAAAAGAGTAGAATTTTGATCATTTTTTTTGTGTCGGTATTCTAAAGTCACTGGTGCAGTTTGATAATTTTTTCAGGTGTACATTTACGAGGAAAAATTAATTTTTTGTTATATTTCGAACAGTTACGAAAAAAGAGTAAAACTTCGATCATTCTTTTGTTTCAATATTCTAAGGTCATTGGGGCAGTTTGAGATTTTTGTGAGGTATTTTGATATACTTTTCTTGACTTTTATAAGTTTCGTACATTTACGATGAAAAATTAAGTTTTTGTTATTTTTTGGACATTTAGTAAAAACAGTACAATTTTTTATCAATCTTTTGTTTCGATATTCTAAGGTCATTGGTGCAGTTTGAATTTTTTTTGAGGTGTTTTGATGTACTTTTCTTGATTTTTATATCTTTCGTACATTTACACGGAAAAATTAAATTTTTGAGACAGTTAAGAAAAAGAGTAAAGTTTTGATTATATTTTTGTTTCGATATTCTAAGGTCATTGGTGCAGTTTGAGATTTTTGATGTACTTTTCTTGACTTTTATATGTTTCGTACATTAACGAAGAAAATTTAATTTTTGTGTTATTTTTAAGATAGTTACGAAAAACAGTAACATTTTGAGAATTTTTTGAGGTGTATTGATGTACTTTTCTTGATATTTTTATGTTTCATACATTTACGAGAAAAAAATTAAATTTTTTGTTATTTTTCGGATAGTTACCAAAAAGATTAAATTTTTTGTTAATTCTCGAACAGTAACGAAATAGCGTAAAATTTTGATGATTTTTTTTTCGATACTTTGAGGTCATTGGGCAGTTAGAGAATTTTTTGAGGTGTTTTGATGTACTTTTCTTGATTTTTATATGTTTCTTATATTTGTGAGGAAAATTTGATTTTTTTAATCATTTTTTTGCTTCAATATTCTAAGGTCTTTGGTGCAGTATGGATTTTTTTTGAAGTGTTTTAATGTGCTTTTCTTGCTTTTTATATCTTTCGGACATTTACGAGGATAAAATAATTTTTTTCTTATTTTTCGGACAGTTATCAAAAAGTGTAAAATTTTGATAATTTTTTGTCTCGATATTCTATGATCATTGGTGCAGTTGAAGAATTTTTGAGGTGTTTTGATGTACATTTCTTTATTTTTTTATGTTTCGTACATTTATGAGGTAATTTAAATTTTTTGTTATTTTTCGGACTGTTACAAAAAATAGTTAAATTTTTGATCATTTTTTTGTTTCGATATTTTAAGGTCATTGATGCAATTTGAGAATTTTTTGAGGTGTTTTGATGTACTTTTCTTGATTTTTATATCTTTCGTAAATTAACAAGGAAAAATTAAATTTTTTGATATTTTTCAGACAGTTAAGAAAAAGAATAAAATTTTAAAGATTTTTTTGTTTCAATATTCTAAAGTCATAGGTGCATTTTGAGAATTTTTTGAGGTATTTTGTTGTACTTTTCTTGATTTTTATATTTTTCGGATATTTAAGAGGAAAATCAATTTTTTGGTTATTTTTTGGACAGTTACGAAAAATAGCAAAATTTTGAACAATTTTTTGTTTCTATATGCTAAGGTCATTGGTGAAGTTTGAGAATTTTTTGAGGTATTTTGATGTACTTTTCTTGATTTTTATATGTTTCATACATTAACGAGGAAAAATAATTTTTTTGTTATTTTTTGGACAGTTACGAAAAAGTGCGAAATTTTGATCATCTTTTTGTTTATATATTTTAAGGTCACTGGTGAAGTTTGAGAACTTTTTGAGGTATGTTAATGTAGTTTATTTTATTTTTATCTCTTTCGAACATTTACAAGGAAAAATTAATTTTTTTGTTACTTTTCAATCAATTACGACAAATAGTAAAATTTTGATCATTTTTATGTTTCGATATTCTAAGGTCATTGGTGAAGTTTGAGAATTTTTTGAGGTGTTTTGATGTAGTTTTCTTGGTTTTTTTATCTTTCGGACATTTATGAGGAAAAATTAAATTTTTGGTTATTTTTTGGATAGTTACGAAAAAGCGTAAAATTTTGATCATTTTTTTGTTTTGATATTCTAAGGTCATTGGTGTTGTTTGAGAATATTTAAAGGTGTTTTGATGTACTTTTCTTGATTTTTATATGTTTCGTACATTTACGAGGAAAATTGTTTAGTTATTTTTTCGGACAGTTACGAAAAAGAGTAAAATTTGGATTGTTTTTTTTTATTTCGATATTCTAAGGTCATTGGTGTAGTTTGAGAATTTTTTGAGTTGTTTTGATGTGCTTTTCTTGATTCTTATATGTTTCGTACATTTACGAGGAAAAAATAATTTTTTTATTATTTCTCGAACAGTTACGAAAAAGATGAAAATTTGGATTATTTTTTTGTTTCGATATTTTAAGTGCATTGGTACAGTTTGAGAATTTTTGTGGTATTTTGATGAACTTTTCGTGATTTTTGTATGCTTTGTATATTTACGAGAAAAGATAAAAAATTTTGTTATTTTTTGGATGATTACGAAAATGAGTAAAATTTTGATCATTTTTTTGTTTCGATATTCTAAGGTCCTTGGTGCTCTTTGAGAATTTTTTGAGGTGTTTTCATGTACTTTTCTTGATATTTATATGTTTCGTACATTTGCGACGAAAAATTTAAATTTTTTGTTATTTTTCAGACAGTTACGAAAAAGTGTAATATTTTGATCTTTTTTCGTTATTCTAAGGTCATTAGTGAAGTTTTATAATTTTTTGAGGTGCTTTAATGTACTTTTCTTGATTTTTATATCTTTCGGACATTTACGAGGAAAAATTAATTTTTTGTTTATTTTTCAGACAGTTAACGAAAGAAAAAAATTATGATCATTTTTTTGTTTCGATATTTTATGGTCATTGGTGCAGTTTGAGAATTTTTTGAGGTGTTTGTATGTACTTTTCTTGATTTTATATATTTCATACATTTACGAGGAAAATTTAATTTTTAAATTTTTCGGACAGTTACAAAATAGATTAAAATTGTGATCATTTTATTGTTTCGATATTCTAAGGTTATTGGTGCAGTTTGAGAATTTTTTGAGGTATTTTGATATACTATTCTTTATTTTTATATGTTTTGTACATTTACGAAGAAAAATTAAAATTTTTGTTATTTTTCGAATAGTTATGAAAATAGGAAAATTTGGATTATTTTTTTGTTTCGATATTCTAAGGTCAATGATGCAGTTTGAGATTTTTTTGAGGTGTTTTGACGTACTTTTTTTTATTTTTATATGTTTGGTACATTTACGAGGAAAAAATATTTTTTTTGTTATTTTTCGAACAGTTACGAAAAAGAGAAAAAAATTGATTATTTTTTTGTTTCGATATTCTAAGGTCATCGGTGCAGTTTGATAATTTTGTGGTGTTTTGATGTACTTTTCGTGATTTTTATATGTTTCGTAATTTACGAGGAAAAAATAATTTTTTTGTTATTTTTTGGATGATTACGAAAAAGACTAAAATTTTGATCATTTTTTTTGTTTCGATATTCTAAGGTCATTGGTGCAGTTTGAGAATTTTTGTTGTGTTTTGATGTACTTTTCTTGATTTTAATATGTTTCGTACATTTACGAGGAAAAACTAATTTTTTTGATATTTTTCGAACTGTTACGAAAAGAGGAAAATTTGGATTATATTTTTGTTTTGATAATCTAAGGTCATTGGTGAAGTTTAAGATTTTTTTGAGGTGTTTTGATGTACTTTTCTTGACTTTTATATGTTTCGTACATTTTTGAGGAAAAATTAATTTTTTTGTTATTTTTCGGACAATTACGAAAAAGCGTAAAATTTTGATTATTTTTTTGTTTCAATATTCTAAGGTCATCGGTGCAGTTTGAGAATTTTTGGAGGTGTTTTGATTTACTTTTCTTGATTTTTATATCTTTTGGACATTTATAAGGAAAAAGTAATTTTTTGGTTATTTTTCGGACAATTACGAAAATGTGTAAAATTTTGATCATTTTTTTGTTTTGATATTCTTAGGTCATTGGTGAGTTTGAGAATTTTTTGAGGTACTTGTATGTAGTTTTCTTGATTTTTATATGTTATTTTATATTTACGAGGAAAAATTAACTTTTTATTATTTTTCGGTCAGTTATGAAAGAAAGTAAAATTTTGATCATTTTTTTGTTTCGATATTCTAAGGTCAGTGGTGCAGTTTGAGAATTATTTTAAGGTGTTTTGATGTATGTTTCTATATTTTTCTATGTTTCTAAAATTTACGAGGAAAAATTAAATTGTTTGTTATTTTTCGAATAGTTACGAAAAAGAGTAAAATTTGGATTGTTTTTTTGTTTCAATATTCTAAGGTCATTGGTGCAGTTTGAGAATTTTTTGAGGTGTTTTGATGTACTTTTCTTGATATTTATATCTTTCGGAATTTTATGAGAAAAAATATATTATTTTTTATTTTTCGGGCGGTTACAAAAAGAGTAAAATTTTGATCATTTTTTTGTTTCTATATTCTAAGGTTATTGGTGCAATTTGAGTATTTTTGTGGTGTTTTGATATACTTTTCTTGATTTTTATATTATTCGTACATTTACGAGGAAAAAATAATGTTTTTGTTATTTTCGCACAGTTACGAAAAATAGTAAAATTTTGATTATTTTTTGTTTCAATATTCTAAGGTAATTGGTGAAGTTTTTTTGTGGTAAGTAAATTTATTTTATTTACCAAGTGACAGTTTACAAATACTCATCTAAACAAAATGACTACCCTGGACATAATGCCCCATCAGTAGCCTTCCTCAACTTCCTCTTTTCATTAATCCTACACCTACACTATGATGGGTAGGAGTCCAACTTCCTCACGTATGCTGCTAGCTTTGGTATTAGGCTTGCTCGAAAATAAGTCTCTTGTGTGATCACCCGTAGTATAACATCTACTGATCTTGCCTTCGATTGAAATATTCTCCGATTTCTCTTGCCATACATAGTAAACAGTTGCTGTCATGGCAACTTTGTACACTGCTGCACCATTACTTCTTCCTTTATAATTTCTAATTACCCATTGTATCTCCCTTTGCCAAACCATATTCCCTCTCGGTATAGTTTGCCATCGTAGTACTTTTTTCCAAATGCTTCCAGAGACCTCACATTCAAACAGGAGATGCTCCACTGTTTCATTACAGATATTACACAATGCACACAGTGGCGTGGTGTTAATCCCCCATCGAGCAATCCTGTCTCGTGTTGCCAATCTATCACAAATTGCTAGTCTGAATATGAACTTCCATTTGGGTGCACCCTGATTGTTTAGGATCAACTTCCTCCATTCAACTTTTGGAAATTGGCCTTGGAGCCTTTGATACAGCCCCTTAATGTGAAAATTGTCCATTTGTTGAACGTCTGTCATATTGTATCCAGCTACCTCAAAATATTCCCTAGCTTTAAACACTTTTTGAATCATCCACGATGCATTCTTTGGACTTATATCCCATACACTTCTCCCTTTTATGTAATATGTGTGGACCCATATTATCCACATCTTCTCCTTCCTTTGACATACACTCCATAGTAGTTTACAGATTGCTGCTTGATTCCATAATTCAATGTTTATAAAGTTTAGTCCCCCTGTTGACACTGGTTGGCAGAGTTTATTTGTGTCCTTTCGGCATACGACAAAAATCTTGTAGTCCAAGATGTAATACAATTCAGCATCTTATCAATCAAAGGCTCACACTGGGTGACAGATAGTCTTTTAGAACTTAGTGGGACTCCTAAGTATCTAAAAGGTAATTCCCCTTTAATGAATCCCAATTCCTCCAATATTTTCTCCTGTACACATTGTTTTACACCCCCCCCCCCCCCCATGTATACTGCACTTTTGCTCTTGTTAGCATATAGTCCGGAAGCTAACGAGAACTGTTTAAACTTGACATTCATAGCCCTTACTGATTGCACATCTCCTCCACAAAATAGTAGCAAATCATCCGCAAACCTTAGTTGTGTCACGTTGAGCTTTGCACATCGTGGAGGAACTTGAATCCTTTCACACCTGTTAGGGATTGTAATGATCTACTAAGATACTCCATAGCCATAACAAACAGAAAAGGGATTGTAATGATCTACTAAGATAAAATGGGAAATAAATAAACAGAAAAGGGATTGTAATGATCTACTAAGATACTCCATAGCCATAACAAACAGAAAAGGGATTGTAATGATCTACTAAGATACTCCATAGCCATAACAAACAGAAAAGGGATTGTAATGATCTACTAAGATACTCCATAGCCATAACAAACAGAAAAGGGATTGTAATGATCTACTAAGATACTCCATAGCCATAACAAACAGAAAAGGGATTGTAATGATCTACTAAGATACTCCATAGCCATAACAAACAGAAAAGGGATTGTAATGATCTACTAAGATACTCCATAGCCATAACAAACAGAAAAGGGATTGTAATGATCTACTAAGATACTCCATAGCCATAACAAACAGAAAAGGGATTGTAATGATCTACTAAGATACTCCATAGCCATAACAAACAGAAAAGGGATTGTAATGATCTACTAAGATAAAATGGGAAATAAATAAAAAAGAATTGTATTCAGTATATAAGTGTTTATTATTTCATCTTCCGTTACTAATTCTCTTGTAATATAGTTTTCTTCTCGTCCTGTATCTATTAATATTAAATATTTTTGTTGTTCCATTATTCCCGTTATGTAATAATGATGTGGTTTTATATCATCTTCCATTGATTTTTGTGGAATTTTATCTATTCTTTTTGAGGTACTCATTTTTGATGATATTTGTGGTATTTCACAGTTTATTCTTTTTGATGTGCTTAATCTTTCTTTTACTATTTCTAAATCTTCCTCTATATCAATCTCATTATAACTATAATCATTTTTATCTATGACTGTGACTATTCTTTCAAAAGGATCTTCTATTTT